CTTGTTGTTTTAGTTTAAACTTAACCATAAAAGAACTAATATCTTCTATAGTACGCAGACTCTCTTTTTGCGTGTATGTATCCTTTATGTCGCTGGCTATGCGGTGCAGCACGCCCCCCACCTCTGTCTGATGCAGGTCCCTAAGATATATAAATAAACTATCTCCCGATAGAGCTACCCTCTGCCCCTTGCCTCTATCTATAAGCAAGCTGCTGCTGCATGCAGACCCAGTCAAAGTAGGTGACACAATACCCTCGCCCATCGTCTGCTCCTGCTGCTGCTCCTGCTGCTGCTGCTGCTGCTGCTGCTGCTGCTGCTGCTGCTGCTGCAGGAGGTGCTTGGGGACCTCCAGAGCTGCACCCTCTATACCCAGAGTGCTATCGAGAAGACCCTGGTAAGTAAAGTCAGTGCAGAGAGGTGTTATAAGGTCTACGCGTCTATCAAACAATACCGCCATATACGGTGCATGCGGCAGCGATAGGTTGCTGCTGCTGCTGCTGCTGCTGCTGCTGCTGTTCGCTCCCCATACACCATCCCCTCCATCCGCTGCTGCTGCTGCTGCTGCTGCTTCTTCAGCAGCAGAAAGATGAATACCGTTGCTGCTGCTGCTGCTGCTGCTTGAAACATATGGCTGAGACAAACCGCAATCCTCTGCATCTAACACAGAATAAACGGGAGGCACCGAGGGGAGCGACGGCTCCTCTCTTGCTGCTACAGTACACCCCAAGGCATAGGGGCCCTCGAACCTTTGTCGCTGCTGCTGCTGCTGCTGCTGCTGCTGCTTTCTTTTCTGTATAAGAAAGTCACTCACAGTCTTTGCTGCGCTGCCTATACACCGCAGATGAGGGATAAGCCGCTGCTGCGGTTGTTTTGGCTGCTGGAGGACGTGCTGCAGGGGTTGCTGCAACAGCAAGAGCAGCTGCTGCTGCTGTTGCTGCTGCTGCTGCTGCTGTGGTTGCTGCTGCTGCTGCAGCACATCCAGTGCGTTTGCTACTGTCTTACNTGCTGCTGCTGCTGCTGCTGTGGTTGCTGCTGCTGCTGCAGCACATCCAGTGCGTTTGCTACTGTCTTACATAAAGATATATCTCCTTGGCCGTGGAAAGCTCTGAAGAAGTTTGGGAGCTCCATAGACAGCACGTCTCGCTCTATAGGGAAGAGCTGTATAGGGCAGTGAGTAACAGCGACGCAGTCTGGGCTCACGCTGCTGCTGCTGCTGCTGCTGCTGCTGCTGCTGCTGCTGCTGCTGTTGATGTCCGGGCTGTCACTTGCGCCGAGAGGCAACAAAGAAGTCCCCAAATTTGAAATGAGAGCAGCAGCAGCAGCAGGCAAAGATGAAGGCCCAGTCTGCTGCTCTGCTGCTGCTGCAGTGCTGGGGGCTGATAGAAGCCTGCGTATTTCGCTCGCTATAAACTCTGAGGGCTCAGGCACCAAAACAATTAAATATCGTCTACCGCTCTTTGCTGTTATGGGGGGCAGAGGAAACCGCCACACCAACGCAGGGTCTGCATGGCTAGCTGCTCCTGGTGCTGCTGCAGCAGCAGCAGCAGCTGGTCCTGCTGCTGCTGCTGCTGCTGCTGCGGGGGGAGGCTGTGCTTGAGGGAAGTGTTGTTCAATGTAGTTGATATGACGCACGATGAGAGGGAGACGAGAGAGACGAGGGCGACAGACAAATACAACAGTAGGAGCCCGGGCTGTCTGTACAGGTACAGAAGAAAGTGAAATAGGAAAAGCAGCCAAAGCAAAGCATCGCTCTACCCCATGCTGCTGCAGAGAAGATGCATCCGTGAGGTGAGAGAGAGGGAAAGCTAGACTGTCTTCTAATATAAATAGCTTGAGGCCCTCAACAGTGCTCAGGCCATCGAGGAACATCCGCCTGTAGTGTGACGACACTGCAGCCACGGTGCTGCCAACCACATCCGCACCGCCACCTGCAGATACACCCCAGCTGCCTGGTGGAGAAGAAACCGNACGGTGCTGCCAACCACATCCGCACCGCCACCTGCAGATACACCCCAGCTGCCTGGTGGAGAAGAAACCGTACAAGAGCCATTTTCTTGAGGCGATGGAGACGTGCTGCTCCCCTCAGGCCGCATGAGGCAGCTGCTGCTCTTTTCTCCTTCTTTTCTTTTTCTTTTTACGTGTAGTTGTGCATGGATATGCTATGAACAGGAGTAAATAGCCACGTTAGTATTCAGCTTTCGGGGTGTACAGGCAGAGGCAACAAGAATATACTACACACAGCTAGCAGCAGCTCCAGCGGCTAAGCAGCAGCTGCTAGCTGTTATACTGGGAATTTCTTTGGCGATTCATGCAGGGGTATGAAGATCAATTCAAATAAGCAGAAGAAGAGGAAAGCGGAAAAGGAACAGAAACAAACAGCCTCAACGACAGACACTGCTCTGGCGGCAGCCAAGAAGGTCGTTCGGTATCTTTGTTCTGTGAAAGAAGGACAGGATACTTCATGAATCTGTTTTCGCCTCAAAAACAAAAAAAGAAGCAAAAGTAGTTGGAGGTTTCCGCAGGTTTCTNTTCATGAATCTGTTTTCGCCTCAAAAACAAAAAAAGAAGCAAAAGTAGTTGGAGGTTTCCGCAGGTTTCTGCTGATATTTGAACAAAGGACGGAAACACGGGGCTGCTCCTCGCCTCGTCTTCACTGCATGCAACCTGTGTCTGACTTCTTTTCATGGAAAATGAGTTAAAATTAAATTCTCTCGACGCTTTCACGTTTTTTTCGCCAGAGTTTCCACCGGTGTTACCAACAGCGAAGCCACCTCAGCTGCACAGACACCCCACGACGGACCACCCCTTTCGTCCAGCGCGGCACACCCATCTTTTTGTGCGTATTTTCCGTGGAAAATCAATTGATTTTGGCTTTATTTCTAAATAATGTCAACTTAGTATTCTCCTCTGCTTCAGATTCCGTAGAAGCCCGGTGGTCGTACCTAGATCCGGCCCTCCCCACCGCAGCGGTTTCCGCTGCTGAGACAACCGAAAATCCCTCTAAATGTTGTTCAGAATTCGTTTTAAAAATGCCTGTGATTCATACGAAGAAAATACGCCGAAATAACCGTATATTCCTCGATAAAGTACCCAAAGTGGTGGTGTGCACGTGCAATACAACATTCGCCTGTTGTAGACGGGTGGCCCGCTTTATGCTGCATCTGGTGGTTTATTTATAAAGTTGAATTCTGTATTTTATTTCACTTATTTTGTTTGTGTTTGCTTGCTTGCAGGTGTAGCGCGATTGGGGGAAAGCAGTGGAAACTTGNTTTCACTTATTTTGTTTGTGTTTGCTTGCTTGCAGGTGTAGCGCGATTGGGGGAAAGCAGTGGAAACTTGTATACTGCGTTCAGGTTTCCGTGCATTGGTCTTGTCGCAATAAGCCGTGCTTTCTTCATATTCTAATAAACCCTTCTTTTCTTCAGCATTGTCTCAGTTTGTCTCTCAGTTTGAATATATTTTCTTTTGCGTTATCTCTGTCTGTGGCTTCGTCTATATTTTCTCTTCTGCGTCGGCAGCTGCTCCTTTGTTTATATTTGTTAGTTTCTCTGCACTCATTGACACAGGCATCAGCTGTGCATGCATGCATGCGTGCATGCATGCGTGCATGCACCTTTTCTCTGAATATATATCTTTCTTGGCTGAATC